CTGTTCTTGAAAAACAGCAGTTTCTGTCAGAGCTCTCTCAGCCCCACCTCTACCTCACAGGGTGTCTGTTGTGGGGAGGGGAAGGGAAAGGAGATTGTAAGCCGCTCTGAGACTCCTTTGGGTAGTGAAGGGCGGGGTATAAATCCAATCTCTTCTTCTTCTTCTTTTACCTCACAGGGTGTCTGTTGTGGGGAGGGGAAGGGAAAGGAGTTTGTAAGCCGCTCTGAGACTCCTTTGGGTAGTGAAGGGCGGGGTATAAATCCAATCTCTTCTTCCCTTCTTCTTCTTCTTCTAATTCAGAAATAATGAATGGACCCATCCTAGTACACTTGACTATTAGTCCAAAAAAACTAGGCTTCCCAAGTCCCCCCGGCGGATTGGGCCCTGGGGGGAACCCCACCCCGACATGCGCATTACCCGGAAGTGACGCAACCACGCCAGGCACGCTGGGGGCGGGGCCACGGTCATCCGAGGGAAAACTCTATGTCCCCCGCTACAGAGAAATTTCAACTTGGCAACCCTAAAAAAACCCAGATTAACAATACCGTCCTAAACAGAATGACACCCTTCTAATTAAACTCAATGGATTGAGAAGGGGGTTTAGGATGGCACTGTAATTATGACTTTTGGATACCTGGAAAATAATTGCCCAGGCTCTGGATTAGGACAGGAGCAAATCAAGCCCCTTGGTTCACTCTGTCTCACAGTGTTGTTTCATACTCCCGAGGGTAGCACCTTTGAGCTTGCTTACTTGACACCCTGCCAGAGATCCATCCGAGAGCCAGTCTGGTGTAGTGGCTAAGTGCGCAGACTCTAGTCTGGGAGAACCGTTGCTTAAGACCAACACGGCCACCCACCTGAATCTACATACATGCGGTAGCTTGGGGGATAAAACGATAGCCCTCCTGGAGAACAGAGGGAGGAGGAAGTCTGACAACTGTGCCAGTTTCCAATGTGTTGTGCGCACACCTATTGTGCAAAGAATGAAGCTGGGAGGAACTAGGTTTACACTGTGGGTGCAGAACTCGCCACGACTCCTCTTTTGACAGGTCGTCTGTCTTCGCCCTGAAGAGCCTGTCCCAATACTGAGATGTTATCCTCTGTATTGGAGGTAGCCAAAGTCCCATTCTGGGAATGCATAATGAGACAGACCGACGGCAGCCCAGCTATCTATTTATCTATTTGGGGAGATGTAATTAATCCCATTTGCATATCGTGTCTTGAGCAATTGCTCCACGGTCTGCAATACTTTCCTGTTCTTGAATGGCTGTGTTTATTTCTGGGGCCATTGCAAAGTAACATTTCACAGCCGCAGCTTATCATGTGGGGATGATCATTACTATTACTGCAACTCGGTCTATGCAGGCTTACCCTCGAAGCTGATCCGGAAATTACAACTGGTGCAGAAGGCGGCGGCGTGCCTGCTGACGTCGACGCCCGTGCGGGCTCACGTTAGGCACGTGCTCCGCCAACTGCACTGGTTGCCAGTTGAGTGCCGGATTCGCTCCAAGGTGTTGGTTTTGACCTTCAAAGCCTTATATGGCCTGGGACCAACATATCTAAGGGACTGCCTCTCCTCATATACGCCTCAAAGAGTGTTACGCTCAAAAGATCAACCCCTCCTGGTGATCCCGGGCCCGAAGGATGCCCGTCTTGCTTCAACCAGGGCCAGGGCTTTCTCTGTCTTGGCCCCAGCCTGGTGGAAGATGCTCCCTATTGAGACCAGGGCCCTGCGGGATCTCCTTCAGTTCTGCAGGGTCTGCAAGACGGAGCTCTTCCACCAGGCCTTTGGTTTAGGCAGCGGGCGCCCATCTATGGCCTCCCTGAGGTTGCTGTCACCCGTCTGCCACCTGTCTAGTGACTAGGGTTGCCAAGTTAAATTAACTCACCGGCGGGCATACTGGCACCAGTACGTCACCGGAAGTGACACGCATCGTCGATCACGTTGAGGGCATGGCCCCGATCGTCGGAGGGAAAACCATAGAGTTTTCCCTCCGACGATCGGGGCCACGCCCCTAACGTGATCGATGTGGTTGCGTCACCTCCGGTGACGCAGCCACGCTGCGCTTTGAGGGGCGGAGTTCCCCCCGGGACCCTATTCCGCCGTGGCGGAAATCGGGCCTCCAAAGTGGGGGTTTACCCGCCCCCACTTGGCAGCCCTACTACTGACCACCGACAACTGGCCTTTAACCCTTTGTACCATCAGGCCAGAATTTTATAGCCAACGTATGCTCTTCCAAGCTGCACCCGTTGTCTTAATTGTTATAATGTTTTATCGTATTTCAGTGCTTCATGTTTTCAAACTGAAATTGTATTTATTCTAATGATGTTACCCGCCCTGAGCCCGCGTGGGGGATGGGCAGGATATAAATGTAAAGAATAAATAAATAAATTATTCTATTACGTTTTCCTCCATTTTATCCTCACAACAACCCTGTGAGGTAGGTTAGGCCGTGAGACAGAGTGAATGGACCGGGATAACTGACTAGGGCACAGTGCCTAGCGAGTCGGAGTAGGATCGGGGAGAGCCAGGTTCAGATCCCTGCTCTGCCGAGGATTCCACGGGTCGGTGACATGCTGTCAGCCTAACCTACCTCACAGGGTTGTTGTGAGGATACTTTCAGTCCCCACTGAGGAGCAAGGAAGGGTAAAAGCCATAAATTTATGGCAGAGTGGGGGGTTTCAACTTGAGTCTCCCTGTTCCTACTCTGACAGTTTAATGCCACCCTGGCTTTCATGATGTGAGCCAGCCTACCTGGCTGAGTTGTTGTAAAGAGTACTGATGGAGCAAAAGCACTGTATAAATTCTAAGCATGATTAAGTCCACAATGATTCTTGAGCTTTCCAATGTGAAATTTAATTGGTAACGACAGGGACTGAGGGATAATTCACACCTGTGTGTACATCACTTGATGGCTTGTACCTGACGGTAAGAAACATACTGTATGTGAGCATGTGTCAAAGTAGAATGAAGGCACTGCCTGTGGGTGTTTGACCTGGGGTGGCTCATTCACACATGCAGGTCAGCATTTTAGAAAGGAACAGGGGTCATTTCCTGCAGGAGCGCACAGGAGTGGAGCTCTGGCAGTAAAGAGTCCAGGGGGCGGGCACATGCAACAAGCCCCTCCCCCTGCTCCCAGCAGCCCTCAGTCAGAGCAAGAAGCAGCCAGGTAAGTTGCAGAGCCCCCCAGACAGTAATCCAAAACAGTCCAGTGACCACTGTTCCCTCTAAGCTGAGTTAGTGTGAGCTAGCTCACAGTTTTTTAGCTTCCAGCTCACACATTTTTGTCCTAGCTCAGGAAGGGATGGCTCCAGAGCAAACTAATTTATGCAGTAGCCAAATCACTCGCTCACAACTTTAATGCCATGAGCTCACAAAAAGAATTTTTGCTCACAAGACTCCACAGCTTAGAGGGAACATTGCCAGTGTCTGCTTTAAGACCAAGGTTTATTCAAATACAAGCTCTCCCTCCACTGCAAGGACAGATCTGCACGTTTCCCCCCCCCCCCAATAGCTAGCAATCCAAAACAGTCCAGTGGCACCCTTAAGGCCAAGGTTTATTCAGGTACAAGCTCTCACTCCTCTGCTAGGGCAGATCTGCAGGGGCACCCTCATAGCTAGCAATCCAAAACAGTCCAGTGGAGCCTGAGCAGTGGCTGTTGCCTTCTGACACACTTCCGGTGATGTCAGGGGGTGTGGCATATGCAAATAAGTTATGCTAATGAACTATGCTAATGAGCTCCTGCACCTCTTTTTCTACCAAATGACCCCTGGAAAAGAACATGCCTGGCAGACTTTGCCCAGAGCAACATCAAATTTGGGAAGTGATGTTTCTTAAGGGGCCGGATTTTGGTGGCATTGCAAAAGCCATCAGGACTCCCTTTCCGTGGCTGCTGCTGCTGCTCTGGTTTACGCGTAATGAAAATCTTTTTGTAGAGACTGAAACATCCCCTCCTGTCTCTCTCTTTCTTTCCCAGCTCTGCAGTCAAATCTTCTCTCCTTCCCTCAGCAGCAGAGCGGACTCCTCCTCCCACAACACGGACACAGTTTAGCATCTCAGGTAACTCACCACTTGGCTGTATGTCAACCAGACTTTCGATTTAATGGACATGGGGCTTTTCTGCACAGTCAACTTGCTCCTGATTTTCTTGGCAGTCGATACACAAGCATTGGAATTGGTTTGGGCACAGTCCTCCCGCATGTCTGCCCTCCCTCTGTATTTTCACAGATGTGGAGTCAATTTCTTTTCTTCCACACTTGCCTTAAATAATGGTGATTTTCAAGGGAAGCTGCTGTCATCATCAATGGCATCACAACACCCCCCACATTTTTTTAAAAAATAAGGGTTAAGCAAGTTTTCTGAATCCCCAGCTTCCATTTTTTTTAAAGTAAGTCTCTAGCTTTTTTCCTTGTGGAGAAAGGGAGAGGGCTAGAGACTTACGTTTTTTAAAAATGAAAGCTGGTAATTAATGGAACCTGCTTAGGATATCACTACAATGGTAGATCAATATATTAATATTTTAAGGCCTTTTTAAAAAATGAAGAGGGGGAGGAGAGGGAGAGGTTTGACAGTCCAGTCATCAAAAAGCGGGCTGCAGGTGGCTGGGACAAAGAGAAGAGTCTTCCTTGCTGTCTGAGATGCCAAAGATTGAACCTGGGGCCGTCTGCATGTCCTGCAACAAAGCCAAGGGTTGCTCTGAACTCAGTTCTGGATCTGAAACAAATAATTCAAATGATGACAACGTCTCCAGTTTGACCCGTCAGATTTTGAATATGAAAATACGGAACTCAAAATTTTAGCTTGCAGTTAAAATGGTTCAGGCTCACAAGCGTCTCTTGACGGTGGTTTGGCAGTCATCAGATATGAAATCTCCTAATCCATTAGGTGACAAATACTAAATTAGGGGAGGGGCTGTGGCTCAGTGGTAGAGCACCTCCTTTGCATGCAGAAGGTCCCAGGTTCAGTCCCCATCACATCCAGCTCACAACATCAGGCAGTAGGTCATATGAAAGACCTCTGCCTGAGACTCTGCCAGTCCAAGTAGATAATGGCCCCGGTCACACGGGCTGGATATCGCGGGGGGGAGGCGTGGCTGTTTGCCCCGGAGTGAACTACCACGCGGCAGCCGGATCAAACATCCCGCCTGACGTCCCGCCAACATCCCGTGGTTGGGGGGAGGTGCCAATCATACCTCACTCCTGCAAAGAAGCGGCGCCGTGTGGGGTTGTGTTTTTTTTTTTAACCCAAGTGTTCGCATGCGCCGTTGGATGCTTGTGCGCACCCGTGGAGACTTGACAAAAAACAAACTTTTCGCGACGGGACATGGGTGGGCGCCAGATGCCACGAGCTAACACCGGAAACGTGATCTCACGCCCGCCCTTGCCCCGCGGTTTCCGGAAACTAGTACCTCGGAGGTACTAGTTTTTTACAGCGCATCTTCGGAGTGAAGCCTCAGGTGAGCCACGGGAGCTCTGCGCTTCCCAGATGTGGCGGTGAGATCGCGCCCGGAAAATCCGCCTATCTTCCGTCTCTCTAGCGTGCCTAATGCTCTGTGTGACCGGGGCCAATACTGACTTTGATGGACCAAGGATCTGATTCAGTATAAGGCAGCTTCAGGCATCTCATGAGTCCCAGATACCATTGTGCGTAATTTCATCCATCATGGAACTCAAGAAAATGTCAATGGGATTCTCAAAGGGTTTCCGTCCAGGCACCGAGAAGACCAAGACCTGCTTAGCTTTATAAGGCGACTTTGTCCTACACCTTCAGACTACCCTTTACCCATTGATCCATGCTCTCAAATAACTAAATACCATGACAGGCCAACAATGAAATACTGCCGAATATTAAATATTGGAAAGAAACATTTGCTATTTAAGTAACATATATCAATACCTGAGCATCTGAATAAAATCTGGAATCCAAATGCACCCAGGAGAATTTGGCGGAATCTTTTGCACAGCAAATTCATTTTGGCTCAAGGTCAATACCCAGTTTCGCAGACCCAAAGCCAATGGGCTTTCTGGAACCTCCCCTGCCTTTCTTTGTTTTAGAAATTGGGGGCTTTGAAAGAAAGACGCAGGCACAGTTATAGCACTAAACGTCCAGTGGAACAGGATTTGGAACAAGATGAGGTATTCCGTTGGGAAGGATCGTGGGAATCTGACCCCTGGGGCTGTGTCCTCCCAAAGCCAAGCCGAGCACAAAAGACGAGAGAAGGGGCAAGATCTGCCTCTCTCCTGCCCCCCAACCTGACCTGGACTGGCTGGATTTGAAAAAGTTCCCCCTTCTGCAGTTCCCCTGAGAGCTGCAGGGCAGCTGGTGTCCACCCACAGAGACTACCCACAAAGTTTCAGGCCGTGAAATGTAAGCGGAAGCTTTGTGGACTCCCTGAGACATCAGACTTGAGGGCAACGTGGCAGTTCTGAATCGCAGATGCATGGCATCGGGGGAAAATAAATAAATAAAGCATAGCCTGGCATCACAGAACAACAAAACAAGGAGGTCCATCAGTGGCTATTAGCCACAAGGTATAGATAGGGACTCTGGGGCAAGTGATGCTCTGTCATCTTGGTGCTGGGGGGGGGGGTCAACAGTGGGAGGGCTTCTAGTGTCCTGGCCCCACCGCTGGACCTCCTGATGGCACCTGGTATTTCTGGCCACTGTGTGATACAGAGTGTTGGACTGGATGGGCCACTGGCCTGATCCAACACTGGCGTCTCTTATGTTCTTATGTTCTTAAGGATTCAAGAATTGGATTATCAAAAATCCTTGAATTAGAAGCCCAGCCCAGCTGGGACACACACCCAGAGGTCATTTCGGGGGGATCACGGGGGATCGCAGTTCCCCCGGGTGAGGTACGGGGGGGCAGGGCACATTATGAAGCCCCGCCCCCTGCTTCCGGCCGCCCCGCTTCCGGCCCTCATTCAGCCAGGAGGAGGCAGGAGAAGAGGGAGGGTAAGTTGCTTCCTCCCTGCCTCTCCCCACCCCTTCCTGCTTGGGGCCAGGGAGGGCCTTCGCGGGGCTTCCTTGCACTCCCGCTGGCCTTTTTTTTTTGGCCGGGACCGTTGGGGGTGGTGTGTGTGGCCTTATGACACACTTCCGGTGATGTCAGGGGGTGTGGCCTTATGACACACTTCCGGTGATGTCAGGGGGTGTGGCATATGCTAATGAGTTATGCTAATGAGTTCCCCTAGCTCTTTTTCTACAAAACGACCCCTGCACACACCCACACCCACCCATCCACACACACTCGGGAGCATCAACATGTAAATATGTGAAGCTGCCTTGCACTGAATTGGGCCACTTGGTGATTCCCTCAAGGTGGTCAGTGTTGTGTATTCTGAGTGGCAGCAACTCTGTAGGGCCGGCTTCCCCGACACGGTGCCCTTGGGTGCCATGGAACAGTCCCAAAGGAATTATACCATACTTATTTTTTTTCCCCTGGATGCTTTTGTTGGGCCTCAGCGCCAAAAAGAACATAAGAAGAGCCCTGCTGGGTCAGACCAGTGCTAGATCTAGGCCAGCATTGTGTCTCACACACTGGCCAACCAGTTTCTCTGGTTGAAGCACAGAGGCCGAGGCCTTCCCCTGATATTGCCTCCTGGCCCTGGGACTCAGAGGCTTAGTGCCTCTGAACATGGAGGTTCCCCACAGTCACCATAGCTAATAGCCATGGGTAGACTTCTCCTCCATGAAATCTACCTAATCCCCTTTCAAAGCTGTTTATTCCTGTCCAGGTATGTAATATCTACTGGGCCACTGTTGTCTACGCTTCTTCATTAAAGGTCGGTGAGGCAGGACTTCCCTTTGCAGAAGCCATGCTGATTATGCCTCTGCAGGCTTTGTCCTTCTATGTGCCTAACAATTCTATGTTTGATTACAGTCTCTGCTAATTTGCCTGGAACAGATGATAGGCTGACTGGCCTGTAATAGAATAGTGACCATTTGTTTATATTCACAACAAGGGTGTTCAAAATGTTGTAAAATAGTCAAAAATTGTTTAATACTCAGACTATTTGATGGATCTTGCTCTATTGGAAAGAAGAGAGTTCTTTGCTTTTAAAATTACTTTATTACTAAGGGAAAAGGGTTCGCGGGATTGCTACAAATCAACATAACACTAAGAGCTACATTTCTATGCTGGCTACAGACAAAACAAGCACACACGTAATGGAGGAGATTCTCTCCTTCTTCTTGACCCCTAGAAGGGAAGTCACCTGAAACAAATGACCAATCTTTATTACAGTAGAAACTACTTTTCCCAGGCTAATTCCCCATTGGCTCAGTTCCAGGTATCCCTTCCAGGTCAGTCTAAACAATAGCAAACTAGGAATACAAGTTAACCCTATAATGACTGAATCGGACCTTGGAAACACATACATTTCCAACACAAAGAACAGACCTTGCTACTCTTGCTTAAGATTTAAGTGCGTTTCTGATCGAATTTGGACAGATTTTGGGAATGGAACCAGAGGAGGTGGTAGATCTTTTGGATTCCATGTAATGAAGTACATCTGAGCAGCCTCGCTGGTTTCTGTGAATCCCTTCACTTAGAGCTGAGAGTTGAGACGCTCCGGTGTTTCTGCAGGTGTTCAGTACTGAAGATTCTGCACTGGGTTGTATTTTAACAGGCAGTGGGACGTCCCGGGCACCCTGGCTCATCATTAGAGCCCCACCTGGAGGTACCTCAACATTTACAAGTTGCCAAACACTTGCCATCCTCCGCAGCGGCAGACGAAGCCAACGACCTAGAAGAGCTAGAGAAGTTTGCCAAGACTTTCAAACAGAGGCGAATCAAACTGGGTTTCACACAGGTAAGGGGGAGCGTCTTCGAATTTCCAGTGTAGTTGTAGACCATAAAACAACTTCAGCTGGAGGGAAGACTTGTTATGCTATCCGTGCGCATGAGGCCATGCAGAGAACGAGAAGGCAGGTCCCTGCCCCAAGGAGCCTGCAAACCAAAACTTGACAGAAGCACCCAACAAAGGAAGGGGAGAGAAGCAGAGGCAGGGTGACACAGGAGGAAAGGGTCTTCGTTTCATTGGTACACACAGGCTTTGTATTGATAGAGGATTGTGGCCAGTGTTCCCTCTAAGCTGAGTTAGTGTGAGCTAGCTCAGTTTTTTAGCCTCCGGCTCACACATTTTTGTCTTAGCTCATGAAGGAGGGCTCCAGATTAACCTAATTTATGCAGTAGCCAAGTTGCTCACTCACAACTTTGATGCCAGTCGCTCACAAAGTGGAATTTTTGCTCACAAGACTCCATGGCTTAAAGGGAACATTGAATTTGTGGCAATCATTTTTTAAAAAATTTTGTTTATTGAATTTTTACCCTGCCCTCCCAGCAAAGGCTGGATCAGGACGGCTTACCCAAAATCAGCACATAATTGCAATAACGCATAAAATATAAATTAGATTAAAACAATTCCAAAACCCTTTAAAGGGCTAGTAGCATTAATTTCATAATGGCTGATGTTATTCAGTCCTCTCGTCTCACAGTCGGTTCTTCGATCTTCTTTCACTCTCCTACCGGCGGCTGGCTCAGGCTGTCGTTGGAGTTCCAAGAGGAAACAGGGCTCTCTAACCTCAGCTGTCAGTTCTTAACTGTAGTGGCGGCTCCAAAGTCCTGGCGGAAGAGCTCCATTTTACATAGGGTTGCCAAATCTTTTAAATTTACCGGAGGGGGAGGCTCTGTCCCATCCAGGAGCAGGCTGGTTGTGTGTGTGTTGGGGGCGTGGCCAAGCTCGTCCGGGGGGGGGACATATGGTTTTCCCCCCGACGAGCTCAGCCACGCCCCCAACGACAGCAACGTGGCTTGCTGGGGCGGGGTTTCCCCCTGGGCCCCGATTCCACCAGGGCGGAAATTGGGGCTCCGAAACGGGGGGTTCCCCGCCCCCCGGGCACATTTGGCAACCCTAATTTTACAGGACCTGCAGAACTGCAAAAGATCCCGCAGGGCCCTGATCTCGTCTGGGAGCTCGTTCCCCCAGAGAGGAGCCACCACCGAGAAAGCCACGGCCCTGGTTACTGCCAGCCTGGCCTCCTTAAGACCTGGGAGGGCCAGCTCTCTGGGGTACACGTGGGGGAAAGCGATCCCTTGGCTCATGGATGTTTCTGTGGGAGGGCTGGAGCTTTGAGCCCCTCAACTGAGGATCTGGGACTCAGGGAAGGCCGATTCAGCCGATTGCTCCTTTCCAAGCAATTGGGGCTGTATTGACCCAGGACTCTGTCTGCAGCACAAGCAGTCTCGCCGCAGACGCTCCACTGGCCCAGCGTACGGCTGTGAACTAGGCTGCTCTCCGTGCCAATCAGCTCCAGTTCACGTTCGACTCACGCCTGATCTGGGTGTCATGGGAATCGGGAAGGTGGGAGGGAGCCTGCCAGTTCTCCCCAGTTTTGTCTTCCCTCTCTCTCCATGACCCCTCTCCTCTTCTCCAGGGGGACGTGGGCCTGGCCATGGGTAAGCTCTACGGCAACGACTTCAGCCAGACCACCATCTCCCGCTTCGAGGCCCTCAACCTGAGCTTCAAGAACATGTGCAAGTTAAAACCGCTGCTGGAGAAATGGCTGAGCGACGCAGGTATGCCTGGGGTTGAAATGGGGGGGGCCTGATCTAGAACAAGGTGGATGTTTGTCTCTCTCACAGGGACCGATTTCACACAAGAGCTGTGCCGCGGTCGCACCTCCCTTTGCCCCGCTTCTGTCGGTCAGTTTGCCACTCGAAGCCACGTGGCCATGTTTTGACCCGCGGCTTCGCCCGATTTTCCCCGCGGTTTCGCGATCCTGTTTTTTGAAACCGTGGGTCAAAATGAGGCCGCGCGGCTTCGAGTGGGAAACTGACCGATGGAAGCGCGGCAAAGGGAGGCGCGAGCACTGCACAGCTCTTGTGTGAAATCGGTCTCAGGCTTCAATACTCAGGCTGACTTTTAATTTATTTATTTTTAATTTTTTTTTTGCATCTTGGCTGTAGTGGATGGTGAAAGGGAGAGAACCTCCGTCAACTGTAGCACACCTTTGAGCCACTAGGGGGTGATAGTCTCCTGCACATTCCCAAAAAGTTTTTAAAAAAACAATACTTATTATTAATTAGCACAATCCTACACTGACAAGATCGGTGTGTGTGTGTGTGTGTGTGTGTGTGTGTGTGTGTGTGTGTGTGAGTTTTGTAGTTAGGGATGCCAACCTCCAGGTGGCAGCTGGAGGTCTCCTGGAATTAGAACTGTTCTCCGGACATAGGGTTGCCAAGTCTACTTACCTTGGCGGTGGGGGAGCCTCACCGGGCTCTGGGAGCTCTTCGGCGATGCGCGCGCCCGCCGCCAGCACATCACAGGAAGTGCCGCTCTGCGTCGCTCACGTTGAGGGCGTGGCCACAATCGTCAGATGATCGGGGCCACACCTCCAACGTGAGCGACGTGGTTGCGTCACCTCTGGTGACGCGGCCACGCTGCGTTTCGGGGGGCGGAGTTCCCCCCGGGGCCCGATTCCGCGGCGGCAGAAATCGGGCCTCAAGAGCAGGGGTTTACCCGCCACCCGCCCCCACTTGGCAGCCCTATCCGGATGACATAAATCATTTGTGTATTATTTATTTATCTAAACTGTTTATTCTGCTTCTCTTGGAGAAAATGGCTGCTTTGGAAAGTGGGCTGCATGGCAGAATGCCCTATCAAAGTGCCTCCCTTCCCTAAACCCTAGTCTCCACCCTCAAATACCCAGGTATGGCAACCCAGTTTTGAGTTCGCTAGGGCACTTCCTCATGCTATTAAGCGGGGAGTGGGGTTGCCAGCTTCCGGGTGGGGCCTGGAGATCTCCAGGAACTGCAGCTGATCTCCAGACGACATAAAACAGTTCCAGTGGAGAACACGGCTGCTTTTCTACGCTGCAGAGGTCCCTCCCTTCCTCAAGCCGTGCCGTTCCCAGATCTAGAAGATCTAGATGGCAGACCCTTGAGGGTCCTTTTCCACCCACCTTTGTAAATTGATTTGGAAGTTCTTGTACCAGGTGCCGGAAGAGCAATAGGAAAAGCAACTTTGGTCTCTAGTGGCATTCATGCTTTCCTCAACAACCCATAAGAACACCAGAAGAGGACTGCTGGGTCAGACCAGTGAGGGTCCATCTAGTCTCACACAGTGGCCAGCCAGTTCCCCTGGAGGTTCAGCAACAGGGCATAGAGGCCAAGGGCTTCCTCTGATAAGAACACCGGAAGAGTCCTGCTGGGTCAGACCAGTGAGGGTCCATCTAGTCCAGCATCCTGTCTCACACAGTGCCCAGCCAGTTCCTCTGGAGGTCCAGTAACAGGACATAGAGGCTGAGGCCTTCCCCTGATAAGAACATCAGAAGAGCCCTGCTGGATCAGACCAGTGGTCCATCTAGTCCAGCATCCCGTCTCACACAGGGGCCAGCCCCTATGGAGGTCCTTCCCCTGATGTTGCCTCCTGCCACTGGGATTCAGAGGTTTCCTCTGTCAAAGAATCCTGTCATGTTGCATACAGTTCCGTTACAGGCTGTAGAAGGCTTGCTGTGGAGCACTGGCCAGGCCTCGCCGCTGCTACATGTGGATCGAGAGCGCCTTCAGATTTTCCCTCATGTTTGCCCCCCCCCAGCCTTGACCAAACCCTAAATCTTCTCTGAATGCTTCTTTTCCACTCTCTTTCCTCCCCACCCACAGAATCTTCCCCCTTAGACTCTTCTGTGAACACCCCCACTTCTTACCCGTCCGTGAGCGAAATGTTTGGGCGCAAGAGAAAGAAACGCACCAGCATCGAGACCAACATTCGCTCCACGCTGGAGAAGCGCTTCCAAGACGTAAGGAAAATGATTGACTCTTGCCCTGTGGAGCAGAAGGGGCAGCCCGGTGAAAGCGCACCACAGACGGGATGCCAGTGGCTGGCTTAGATTCAGAGGTTTCCTCTGGCAAAGAATCCTGACATACTGCATACAGTTCCGTTACAGGCTGTAGAGGGCTTGCTGTGGAGCACTGGCCAGGCCTCGCCGCTGCTACATGTGGATCGAGAGCGCCTTCAGATTTTCCCTCATGTTTGCCCCCCCCCAGCCTTGACCAAACCCTAAATCTTCTCTGAATGCTTCTTTTCCACTCTCTTTCCTCCCCACCCACAGAATCTTCCCCCTTAGACTCTTCTGTGAACACCCCCACTTCTTACCCGTCCGTGAGCGAAATGTTTGGGCGCAAGAGAAAGAAACGCACCAGCATCGAGACCAACATTCGCTCCACGCTGGAGAAACGCTTCCAAGACGTAAGGAAAATGATTGACCCTTGCCCCGTGGAGCAGAAGGGGATGCCCAGTGAAAGCGCACCACAGACGGGATTCCAGGGGCTGGCTTAAAAAGAGGTCTCTAGGGGCTCAGGTCCCCAGAGACGTAACTCAGCTGCAACAAGCAGCCATGACGGATGGGGTGGAAAGTGATGCGGATTGGGTCCGTGGCACCGAGGAGGAGGGAGGATAACTCTTCCCTCCTGCCGTGTGCCATTTCCCTCATAAAAACTGTTCTCTTTGGGGATATTTTAGCCCCCTGGAGGGTAAAAAGACAGTCTTCATGTGAGTGCCTGTCTTTTTCCCCTATTGGGTGTTGAAACCATCTTGGGGGAAGAGAATTTTCAGTGACAGAAACTGGTGCAGTGGAAACAGTTAGGGTCAGGTCACACAGACATTTAGTGCGGGCTTCGCTGCTGATCCCTCGCGTTTTACAGTTTCCTGTTCATATAGGCAAACCCGCCTCCCGCACCGAAGCGGGCTGAGTCCCGCAGTTTCCACTGTTTTTATCCGCATTTCCTGACACCCGTTGGAACAGGTGTTTTTCCGATATCTCACGCCAGTTTGGTGTAGTGGTTAAGTGTGCGGACTCTAATCTGGGAGAACTGGGTTTGATTCCCCACTCCTCCACTTGCAGCTGCTGATGTAACCTTGGGTCAGTCACAAGCTCTGGCACAGCTGTCCTCGGAAAAGAGAAGTTTGTGTCAGAGTTCTCTCAGCCCCACCCACCTCACAGGGTGGAAAGGAGTTTGTAAGCCGCTCTGAGACTCCAAGTGAAGGGCGGGGTATAAATCCAATCTCTTCTTCTTCTTCTTCTTCTTTGTATCCGCGGTTTTGGTATCTGGACAGCAATCCGCCGTGACCGCGCTAACTCCCCCCCCCCTTTTTGTGTGTGTTTCCGGTTTAAGTTATGCACGTGTGTAAACAGGCGCTAGGTTTTATTTTGGCCTTTTTAGTTTGTATGTACGCCCAAGCGCATGTTTAGCCCCGTTTTCTTTCTCGTTTTCCTTTACGTCTTCGATCCCATGTATTGACAGTTTGGTAACGCAGATGGTGCTTGTTTCGGGCACACCTGTGCTTGAAAAAAGTAGTCCCTAGGTCCTCCGCGAGGACAGGTGTAGTTCCAGCTTTCCAGGTAAACTTCCTGTTTTAACATTTCCGAGAAGGGACAGAAAGATGGCGGGGGCGGGAGTCAGAGGTGTACCATGGAAGAGAGAGGAGATCTTGGACCTGCTAGCTTTGTGGGGTGAGCAGAGGGTCCAGGAATCCATCAGGCAGTCTCACCGCACGACGGAGACCTACAAAGAAATAGCGCGGGGGATGACGGCGAGGGGTCATAGCCGTTCAGCGTCCTGCCAATCTGTATCAGGGTCAAATATCACGACTGAAAATCTGATTACGGATAATGGGTGGGCCCTCACTTATTGCCAACTCTGCCCGTGAAATGGGATGGGCAGGTGGATAGAGGGGCCGGCTGGCAGGGAGGAGATCGGCAGGACAAGAACAAGCAGGCTGAGGGAGGGAGGGAGACCCCGGAGAAAGAGCTCCTGGGAGGGGGAGGATGATGAAGGCCAAGCCAGGTCAGGAGCCAGGGCTCCCTCAGGGCTGGACATGAGGGCAGAAGTCCAGATAACGCTGTGAACCTCCATGCGTGGACTGAAGATCTCATGGAATTACAGCTGATGTCCAAACGACAGAGTTCATCTCCCCTGGTGGAAATGGCTGCTTTGCAAGGAGGACTCTACAGCATCACACTCTGCTCTGGTCCCTCCCTCCCCCAAACCCCGCCCTCCCCAGGCTCCACCCCCAAATCTCCAGGAGTCTCCCAACCTGCTCCCAACCTGGAGTTGGCCACCATAGTGGACGAGCCCCTAACCCCCCCCCCAAAAAAAAGGGCTGTGGCCCACTGGCGGAGAACCTGCTTTGCATGCAGCAGATCCCGGGTTCCTCTAGGTATCAAAATTATCTACCGGAGTCTAAAATCACCTAACTGCACCCCTGGCCAGAAGGCAGCAGTGTGCTTCCTGTGGGGGTGAGCCATGCCTAGACCTGGAACATGGGGACATTGTACAGGAGGCAGCCGTCAGCACCATCCCAAAGAAAAAGAAATGCCAGAAAGCAAAGTGGCTGTTCGATGAGGCTTTACAAATTGCAGAGGAAAGAAGGAAAGCAGCTGTGTGACTGAACAACAATCAGTGCAAGCCTCTTGTAGCTGTACAGTCGACTTCCTCCCATTCGCCTGCCCTTGCGAGGTTATTTCCAGGTGTAATCTCCCAAGCATTAAAAAGTTATGAGTTCTTGAGTCAGCCGTGATAGTCGATGGCCCCGATGGCCCCGTTACGCTCCGGTGCGCTTTTATTGGCATGGGAGCCAATGGCGGCCCCTCCGCCTTCAAGGATCCTGTGCTGTTAGGGTGGCCTTCCTCATCTCGGCCTTCCTCTCCCGCAGAACCCCAAGCCCAGCTCGGAGGAGATCTCCATGATTGCCGAACAGCTGTCCATGGAAAAGGAAGTGGTGCGGGTCTGGTTCTGCAACCGGCGCCAGAAAGAGAAGCGCATCAGCTGCCCGATGCCCTCCCCCATCAAATCGCCCCTCTACAACTCCAGACTGGTAAGAGCTCCTGCACCAAAAGGCGTCAGTTACCTCTCTTTTCTCTCTTGGTGAAGCAGGAAACGGATGGTGGGAAGGAGGGAGGGAAATTGCCTTTCGTGAAGAAGGAGCCGGGTTCTATCCTTGGTGTCCCTAGTTAACCGTGTCAGCGAACAACTGTGGGGAAAGACCATTCTCTGCAACGCTGAGCTTGAAGGATCAGCAGTTGGACTCTGTATTCTGAAGAAAAGGGGGGGTAGGGGTAGGGAGAAACTCAACACAGCTGTGTTGAATTAAGAACCGAAAATGTTAAGGAGATCTAAGTGTATAGGCCCAATAACCCTGTTCATAAAGTTAAAAACGTTACATATGGACAGATATATAAAAATATGCATGTATTTATTACAGAGTCAATTAAAAAACAGATATTGTTTAACTGTCTTTACAATGCCACAATCGGGAGCCAGTAGTGATGTACTGGCTGCATCGAATTTTTCTGACCAAGCAAGAAAGGTGCACAATTGAACCATTCCTATAGGAAAGTGTGCCTGACCGTGCCAGCAAACTATCAAGGATGAGGCCTGTGATTAATATCTTAGCCTTTGGTCACAGGCAATATTCATTAAAAAATTTCATCTTGGTCCATTTATAAGAAATGACTGTGGCTCTGCTTTGCACACAGAAGGTCCCAGGTTCAATCCCCGGCATCTCCAGTTTAAAAGGACGAGGTAAAAGGTGATGTGAAAGCAGGGGTAATTTCATAGAAAAAGAGGTGCAGGAGCTCATTAGCATAACTCATTAGCATAACTTATTTGCATATGCCACACACCCTGACATCACTGGAAGTGTGTCAGAAGGCAACACCCACCGCTCAAGCTCCACTGGACTGTTTTAGATTGCTAGCTATTTGGGGGGGGGGGATGTGCAGATCTGTCCTCACAGAGGAGGGAGAGCTTGTACCTGAATAAAACTTGGTCTTAAAGGTGCCACTGGAGTGTTTTGGACCGGGGGGGAGTGCTCTGCAGCTTACCTGGCTGCTTCTTGCTCTGACTGAGGGATGCTGGGAGCAGGGGGAGGGGCTTGTTGCATGTGCCCGCCCCCTGGGCTCTTTACTGCCGGAGCTCCGCTCCTGTGTGCTCCTGTGTGAAAGACCTCAGCCTGAGACCCCGGAAAACCATGGCCAATCTGGGTAGTCAATACTGATTTAGATGGACCAAGGGTCTGATTCAGTATAAGGCAGCTTCATGTGTTCAGCGTCAGGCGCCATTCTGCAATATGATTTGTTTGACCACCGAGGAAGGCCAACTGGCCAAAATGCATATGGTCAGGGTCAATAATGGTCACTTTTGGTTGTCACTGTGCTATTTGATTCTTAATTGAGGCTATCACCAGGGGTGATATCTGTTTTTAATTGACTTTGTAATAAAGACATGTTATATTTTTGTATATCTTTCAATGTTTAATGTTTTTAACTTGACTGACAGGATTATGGGGCCTCTACACTTAGATCTCCTTAACCTTTTCGGTTCTGAAGAAAAGGAGCCTTCCCGCAGTAGCGGAGAACCTTCCGGACATAGTAGCAGAGGTCCTCCCAGGTTCAGTCCCCAGCACCGCCAGCAGAGGGATCCAAGTTAGCAAGACAAAGACAGAGCAGTCAGAGTAGATGGTACCTGGCTAGAAGACAGCTACATATGTGGGAGGCAGGAATATGTAGCCCAGGAGTCCTCCTCGGGCTTTTAGGTCCTGCGGCCACCTTTGGAATTTTGACTCGGAGTAGAAGGTGCAACCACAAAATGGCTACCACAGAAGGGGGTACGTCAACATTGAACAGGATGCCCTTTTAAAACAGACATATCGTTCTAAAACAGAACTTACCTTCAGTCACCCAGTGAAGATCTGTGTGCTGTGGTGACAGCTGCTGCCAAAGCAGCATTTTCAAAAAGAGCCAGTGTGGCGTAGTCATGCTAATCTTGAGAGCCGGGCTTGATTCCCCACTCCTCGGCCACACAAAGCCTGCTGGGGGACCTTGGGCCAGTCCCAGTTCTCTTAGAACTCTCTCAGCCCCACCTAGCTCAGTCGGTGTCTGTTGTGAGGTGGGGAAGGGAAGGCGATTGGAAGTCGCTTTGAGGCACATGAGGATTGCTGGGGGGACCTTGGGGCAGTCCTGGTTCTCTCAGGACTCTCTCAGCCCCACCTAGCTCACAAGGTGCCTGTTGCGGGGAGAGGAAGGGAAGGAGATTGTAAGCTGCTCTGAGGCGCCCTCAGGTAGAGAAAAGCAGGGCATAAAACCCAACTATTCTTCTTCTTAAAACACCTGCAAGGTCTGCTGGGCAAAATCCCCCTCTGGCCCCACCCACTTTCTTGGTGGGTGTTGGGGAGGGTGTTGGTGGGTACCACATTGGGGGATCCCTGATGTAGTACTTCAGTTTGGCATAACGTTAACATTGTGGATCAATACTAGAAGAAAAAGAAGAGAAGGTTTTTATACCCAGCTTTTCTTTCCCCAAAGGCGTCTCAAAGCAGCTCACAACTGCATTCTGTTCCCCTGCTAGAGAGGTTGGTGCGCTCTGGTTTGATCGCGTGCCCTTTTGCCATTTCTTGCATTTGAGACACCAAAATACACGTTCCGTGTTAAGAACTGCTTTGCTGGAGGCATAAGGGTCGGATTCACACCACAGCTTCTTTTCCCACTACAGAGTGATTGTAATCCTCATTACCACCCCACAAAATGAACCCTGTGAAAGCGAGTTGTGTGAATCATCCAACAGTTTGGTTGGAGATCCTGGAGGTTTTTTGTCATCTTCTGGGCATGGAGCAGGGGCCACTGTGGGTGTGGGTGTGGGGGGGAGGTATTTGTGAATTTCCTGCCTTGTGCAGGGGATTGGACTAGATGACCCTGGGCATCCCTTCCAACGAGTCTATGGTTTAGGCTTTTTTCTTAAAGGGTGGGGG